TGCTTACAGTTTGCTCCGCTGTTTTGCAGGGTGTGGGCACGAATTGGAATGACCCGTTCAATCCGCACAAGAGAGCTTAATCGATTACGCTGACGGGAATTGCATCCGCTGCACCGACGGTTACATGACGACGCCAAAGACGGCTGGGCGAACGGCCACATGAACCGGGCTATGGAAACTGAACAAGCCGCCGACTTGCGTTACCAGCTACAACAACTGGAATTGGCCCCGACGACCTCTTCGGACAGTTCGCCGTTCCAACAGTCCACTGCAACTTTCCCCAGAAAACGGATTCTCGCTTTTCGTGAGAGCTTTGGAGGTTGCATCCAACTGCCTACAGAATTGGCAACAACGTCTGCGGGCGAAGAACCGTCTACCTCCCGGATCGAGTTTCACATTCCAGGAGAGGTAAACCCCACAGCTTCGGCGCACAGCAGTTGCATGCCGATGGGTATTTCTTATGCATCGTCTGATGACGAGAGTGAGTCGTTGGTGGCCACTGATTACTCGTCTGGACCACAGTCCTCTTCCAGTGGACCTTTGCTTCACGCTAGCTCCAGTAGTACGAAGTTGGTTGTCACCGACTACTCTTCGGAGGAACTTTCCACAGCACGGGCGAGTCCAATGCAAGTGCGAAGTGATGATGCGATTCCAATTGAGAGTCAGTCTGGGTCGGAAGCGTCTGGCAGGGGTGATGCAGAGAGAAGGGCGATACTGCAGATTTTGCCCGCACCTCTGCCAGGCGAAAGACGAAGGTATAGCATGGCTAATAGGAACGCTAGGAGGAAAGAACGGTACAAAAGAGCGAGAAACATGCTGTCCGAAAAAAAACTGCTCATGGTGCGCGGCATGGCATGTTGCAAGGCTCGATGTTGTTACGTTTGTCGCTTGAGGAAGTGCGAAAGGTTAGACAAGGACTGTACAATAAGACTCCGGTAGAACGAGCTGAGTGGTGGATGAAAAGTATTAAGGATTTCACAGTGAATGAGGGTGGACAGAGACGTGTCCGCCCTGTGGAGCTGGAACGTTCGATGTGCATCAAGGCGTACTGCAATGTACTCGGTATCTCGCGTAATACATTTTACAGCTACAAAAAACGTTTCGACAATGGTTACGTGCGTTCCGAGCATGGCCTGACGGGGAAATATCGGCCAACCAGTTAAACGGTCGCCATGCTTGCCAGCATGAAAACGTTCATCGAGTGTCATGCGGATAGCATTCCGAATGAGGTGGCTAACAAAGGTGGGGTTTCCAGACCGAAGCTTCGACTCCCGGCTGCGTTCACGAAGCGATCAATTTATGAGTCCATCAAATCAGGCCGCTGGCCTCGCTGTCGTGTTTGAGTCCAACTTTTATAAATTATGGCGGAAACACTTTTTCCACAATTCCCTCGCGCACTCTAACACGTTCACGAAGTGTGCCGTCTGTCATGAGCTGAAGAAACGTATACAGTATGATGCTCTTCCTCGAGATCGAGAACAAGCTCGAGAGGATATGAAAGCTCACCAAAGGAAGCAAGTTGAACACAGATTGGACTATAGTTGAGCGAAAACTGATTCGATGGTCCGTCCGAACGAGCGTTTGTATCTCATCATTGACGGCATGGATCAGAAGAAAACAACTATCCCCCATATTGGTCAGGCAAACTACCCGAAAGCACTTAGGCACGAGATGATCATGAAGACGAATCTGACGGGCGTCATTGCACACGGTAGAGACCCTAGTATATATGTATACACGTGGTTTCCGTATTTCAAACACGATTCGAACACGGTCGCTACTTGTGTTATGAGAACCCTTGTCGAAATTCAAGGGAGCGGGACGCCACTGCCACGATGTTTGCGCATTCAAGCGGATAACTGTTGGCGGGAAAACAAGAACAAGTACATATGTGCGATGGCTGCACTGTTGGTTAAGTTCATAGTTTTCGAAGAGGTAGACATAGGTTTCATGCTGGTGGGACACACCCATACAGACGTTGATGCTACTTTCAGCGTTTTCTCGAAGAAATTGAAAGACATAGACGCTTATACTATGGACGAGTTCTTCGAGCTCATAGAGCAATCACACAAAAAGCCTCCCAAATGTATTTTCCTCGATACGATGAAAGATTGGATTAGTATAGTAGACCCGTGCGTTGCGTCAGACATTACCGGTATTTCGAAACTGCACTTGCTTAAATTTTTGATGGTTGGAGATAATCCGGGCATGTTGTATAAGGAGTTTTGCGATGACGACGAATGGTTGTCCGAGGAAGGTCCGATTTATTGGTTCAATCAAAACCCCGATGAGAGCTATGCAGGTCCTTCGTGGCCGTTTGACCCGCCTCATGTGCAACCCCTTCCTCGAAGTAACTATTTGAATGGCAAAAATGGTGTTGTTCGATTCTGCGAGTTGCTGGAGAGTAGGCGGTCGACGTGGTGCACTTACAATGACCATGAGGTGAGTAGGAGAGGAAGAGCTTTGTGTTAATGGAAGGAGGTAAACAAACATGGCGATAAAATCATCGCCAACGGGTTGTCCTCACAACCTCAAGAAAGTTTCTGGCCACGACCACGACTGCTCAAAAGCGATCAACAACCTTCTCCTCGCAGTGTCAACATCGACAACAGGGAACCTCTGTTTGTTGGACGAAGAAAAAATCGCCCGAAGACTAGTTTCGACCCCCTCGTGCATGTTGACGTGGACACTTTTCTTATCCTTCGCCCCTCCGACGATGATATGTCCAGCGGTGTGCCAATCTGGGTGGGCAAAGCTCTTTCTCTGGTGGTTGTTGATTATAATTCGCAGAATTATAATCAAGTGTAAGTGGAATATTGGGTGCCAACTGGGAGAGCTAAGTTGCTCGAACAACTGTATGAGAACGCATGGAAAAAACGATGGAAAATGACTGAGCAGACACAGTAGCAGGATGCTAACTCGATCGCTTTTGGTTGGGAGAGACCGGTGTCAGGCGGCCACAAGTAGTGCGCCGCCTGAAAACGGCAGCTTAGGGGTTTAGGCTCAGGGTTAAGTCCGCGTTTTGACAGTGCTTTGGGATGACCGGGCTGCAGGAATTATGAGAACTCAGGGTACCCCTGATTCTGCACGCACTAGATTTTAAGAGTAACCCCCAAAGACAGCAAGATGGATGGGTGCACTGAGCACAACTACAGACCGTCATTTCCGGTCGCTCAGAGGACTCGGACCGTTTTGGCCTGCCGCGGAGAGGGATCGCGGAAACAGACCTCGCCGCGACATTTTGACGGCATACAACCGGGGCCGAAATGAGGCYTCGRAATKTTGTSTATTCTAATATCATAATTAAAAATAAAAGAAAAAGATTAAGACCAGAAGAGGAGCGGAGAAAAACGCAATATTCTTTATTTTCTTCATTTTTTTACTACATTTAATCTTAGGGGAAATTCCCTTGTTATTTTATGTTTTCG